CCCCAAAAAACTATTCACTTGAGTTAAAAAAAAACTTATACCCTAACTACCTAGTTCTGCTATTGAATTGATACTTGAGTAGAAATAATATTTAGACATACTCCATCTGCCTTAGTTGACGGTTTTTGGAGAAAAGTAGGATTAAAAAGCCCGATTCCCTAAGTGGTTTTGAATTACTGAAAACTACTGCATTAAAACCCTGACGAAAATAACCATAAGAGTTAATTTTTCTCTCTATTACATATGTAATATGATGCCAATATTATGGCTGACTAGGAATACCCACTAGATCTGAAGGGTCTGTTCTACACCCCTGGTCTTCTGACTATCCCCACGTTTGGCCTATCTTTAACACGTTAGTGTCAATGCTAATGTGAAGACCTTATGACACCAAAATTTGCAGTGTTTTCTTAGCTGAGTTATTTAGTAATTGTTTACTTCTGTGCTAATGAGCTTGCTGTGGCACCTTTAAACAAAGGAGGCAAAGAAATTATTTTACAAAAAAATTCCTTTTTTAAAATCTGATCGAGTAAGAAATACCAATTTTGTATGACAATAAATGCAGGTTAGTTATATAAAGTTGTGAAATCCAACAGATTGGTATTGCATCGATTTCATAATTTCTTAATGATCCCACAATTGAATATACTTTAAATGCATTATTTTGGAAAAACGTAGCTCCAGAATTTTTCATTGTACCGATCAAGTAATAAATAACAATTATGTATAACACTTAGTAAATTGAATAAATTTGTGAAAAGCAGCAGATTGGTATTGCATTCAATTAATAATTTCTTGATCAGCCAATCGAATTTACTTGCATTACCACAAAAGAGTAGTTTTAGGAAGCTTCCTTTGTTCAAAGGTGATAAAAAACAATACTATAGTTTCAAGCACCATCATGCTATTGATCTTAACAAAAAAACACTCTTAGTGACAAAAATGAAAATGTTGCTCACCAAAAGAAAATAATTGTGATTAGTAAGAACTGAATTAGCCAATGATTTTAGAGCATGATGCATGTTGAAAGTACAAAAAAAAAAAAGTAAAATATTTTCCTGAACACAAGTTTCCTATTGAGCAGCTACTTTCCCAAAACAAGTTTATTTGGATTACAAAAAAAGTATTTTATTTTTGAAAGTAAATACAGGAAATATTTTTCTCGAGAAAAGCAAATAGCTTAGCACTCTGGCAACCGTATTTTAAGTACAACATACATGTATATATTTTTTTTCAAATTGGAAATAAAAATGAAGAGAATCTTAAAAGGTTTCTTATGTTGATGTTGGCAAAAGATATTGTTTTTCAACTCCACACTCAAATTAAGATTTCTGAGGAAAACCAATTGAAGTGAACGGATTTCACCATAAAGCTGCTCAATAGGAATCTTGTGAGAAGGAGAAACTAGGTTTTCATGAGCAAATAAGTGGCTTCTGTAAAATCAAATTTACTGTAATGATTATATCCTGCTGTCTGACTTGTTTAGTGGTACACCAAAATGCCTGTACATATATCAAAAAAAGTGTAACTTCAATTTCTTTTTAGAAAATGAAATAAATTGCCGTTAGAACTCAATAGAAATATTGTTAGTTTTGCATTGCATCCTAGAATTTAATCTGTACACATGTGAAAAATAGATAAAATGGTAAATAAGTTTTGACTGTATTTTCTAGTAACAGAGGCTTTGGACAAACAATTAAGAATAAAAATTAGGGATAATAATTTTGAATGACCCTTTGATGACTCATTCATCATTTTCAAATTTGTAAATTTAAATGCCCGATTCTTATGAGTTCTTTATATACCTGTACTAAAAATGCGTGTGAAAGTCTTGTTGCATCTGATTAAAAAAACTCCAATGTGGAATGCAGAGAGTGTTAATTATGAACTAAATAGTTTTGCTTTGATTGAGTCAGATTGGGTGTTCAATTTAGGTTTCTTTTCTTGGATAAAGAGCATTTCATAAATTATTTCTCATTGAAATTTATTTTGGTTTATTTGACAATAATAATTGCAAAAATTTACTTTTTCAGGCAATTTTGAACAAAATGTCAGCACTTTTTTGTTTAATGTCTATATGCATGAAAATACAACAAGAATTACCAAACTTTTAATTTACAGAAACAGATTTTACCATAACTGAGTTTCAGTTAATTTTTAGTGATGATTGCTATTGGCATAATTCCCAGCTCTGATATAATGAATTGTAAGCAAGCCACTTATTTGCAAATGAACGACACCCACACAACACACTGGTCAGTTCAATACTCTCTTCACATGGGTAGTAGTTACATGTGCATCAAAGTGATATTAGAATACAATGTTAAAGATCTTCAAATTGCAACTAGATAAATTTAAAGGTTGGTAATTGCTATTTTAGACAGTTACATATCCTAGGCAATCGAGATATCAAGTGAGTTTTTGATTGATTAAATGATTGGCTGANAGTGGCTTCTGTAAAATCAAATTTACTGTAATGATTATATCCTGCTGTCTGACTTCTTTAGTGGTACACCTAAATGCCTGTACATATATCAAAAAAGTGTAACTTCAATTTCTTTTCAGGAACTGAAATAAATTGTGGTTAAAACTCAATAGGAATATTTTTAGCTTTGCATTTAAGAGCATCCTAGAATTAAATGAGAATTTTTAATGGGCACTCAAAATGTCTGTACACGAATAAAAAATAAATGAAATGGTACATAAGTTTTGACTGTATTTTCTAGTAACAGAGGCTTTGGAGAAACAATTAAGAATAAAAAATAGCAATAATAACTTTGAATGACCTTTTCATGACTTATTCATCATTTTCAAATTCGTAAAAATAAAAGTCAGATTCTTATGAGTTCATTATTCTGAAAGTCTTGTTGCATGTGATTAAAAACACCACAATGTAAAATGTAGAGGGTGTTAATTAAGAACTAAATAGTTTTGCTTTGATTGAGTAAGACTGAGTGTTCAGTTTAGGTTTCTTTTCTTGGATAAAGAGCATTTCATAAATTAGTTCTACCGGTAATTGAAATATATTTTGGTTTCTTTTTCTGCATGGCTTTTTGAAATTTCATTGTCCGTTTCTGAATTTGACAATAACAATTGCAAAAATTTACTTTTTAAGGCAATTTTGAACAAAACATCGGCTCTTTTTCATTTCATGTCTTTATGCATGAAAATACAACAACAATTATCAAACTTTTAATTCACAGAAACAGATTTTACCATAATTGAATTTCAGTTAATTTTTAGTGACGATTGCTATTCGCATAATTCCGGCTCTGATATAATGAATTGTATGGAAAATGTATCAAGCAAGCCACTTATTTGCAAATGAACGACAACCACACAACACACTGGTCAGTTCAACACTCTGTTTACATGGGTTCTAGTCACATGTGCATCACAGTGGTACTGGAATACAATGTTTAAGATCTTCAAATTGCAAGTAGATATAAATTTAAAGGTTGGTAATTGCTATTTTAGTTAGCTGCATATCCTGGGCTTTTTATCTTAACTATTTATTGAGTTATTGAGTGATTTTTTAATTGATTAAATGATTGGTTGATTGATTGATTGATTGATTGATTGATTGCTTGCTTGATTGATTGATTGAATTTCCCTTTACCTATGTTTAAAAAAGAGATAATTGAAAAAGACAGAAAATAAATAATTAAAAGCTTCTTCTCAATTTGCTCATTAACTAAAATAAAAGCTGCAAAGGAGACTGTAAAACCACATGTGCACATGTAACTAGGAAATGAACAGAGAGTAATAAACTGGTATTACAAATGTTTACTTAGAGTAATCAAAGAATTTTTCATCTCAGTTGGCCCACAGCAATGTGTCACCAATTTTGCTAATTGGAATTTGGAAATATTGGTTTCTCAAGAGTGAGGGAAACCAGAGTACCCGGAGAAAAACCTTCGGGGCAAGGTGCACTATGCCATCTCTGCTACCAGTAATATCTTACATACCTTAATATATCTATAATTCAACTTATGAAAACTCTTCATTCAAGGCTTGCTTTAATCCTTGATCCCCAGTTGTCAGTCCTCAGTCCTATCCTTGCTCCTTGATCCTCTGTTCTGAGTCTTGGGTTGTCTGTCTTGGGTAATCTGTCCTGAGTCCTCTGTCCCAGGTCCTCTGTCCTGGGTCCACTGTCCTGGGTCCTCTGTCCTGGGTCCTCTGTCCAAGGTCTTCTGTCCTGGGTCCTCTGTCCTGGTTTCCCGGTCCTGGGTCCCCGGTCCTTGATCCTGTGATCTATGTCTCTAACAACTTGCCTGCAAATCCAATATGTAACTAGTAAGTATTTTGTACATGAATTTTGCTAAACTTGCTATAAACAATGTACAAATAATTCTTTTCTCTTAAAATTTTGCATCAGAGTCTTAAGAATTTCACTACCTCCTAAAGGATTACCCAAACATTTATATCCCACCAATACAAACTAATTCCTTGTGCAATCAATCAGTGTTTTTGCAGAAGAATGTTAGCATTGAGACAAGTAATGATGTTCCTTGTNGAGAGGGTTTGTTCTCGTTTATACATGTATTATGTAAAATTAGTTACGACCGGTCAGTAAAAAACACTGACTGCAGTTGGTAGGCTGCATTTAGTTCACAGTCCTCATTTTATACCTGAGTCTATGTTTTATACTCAGTCCGTAATGCTTAGTCCGCGTTTTATACCTAAGTCCATAGTCTGCAGTCCGCAGTCCATATTTATACTGGCCGTGTAATGGTACATTTTGCTGACCCCTAGTGCATGGACTACCCCGATGGACCTGGTCCACGGACTAATTGAATGGACTTAACCAATGGACTACCCTAACTGGGCAATCCTGAACCCGAACCAAAGTACACAACTGTTTTTCACTGCTTATGTTTTGTGTATTTTGGGATTATTCAAACTCAAAATAGAAGGCCAAACAATAAAAACAGAGAATCTCACCGCAAAGTTACAAAACTCAAATCAAAATTGTCGTCTAACCTGGGTTAGCTTCATCAGGCTTTGAACAACCCGACCCAGGAGTTTCGGCCTTGCTATCGCTAGATATAACTAAGCGCTCGTTTTTGAAAATTCGGCGCGAAAATAAGTCTTTTTCACATTTATCAAACACCAAACACGACACTAACAGTTCCTACCTGAAAGAAGTGTAAAAAGACCTCAACGCCACGATAAGGCAGTTCTTTATAGCAAGAAAGACGAAAAACACACTCTACATGTAAAACCGCCATTTTGAAAGCCAGAGACTGGTGACGATAAGGGCTTCCCACGTGATATGATTTAGAGTACAGACAGTTAGAGCACAGCAATTTTGATGACAAAAAAAGCACAACTACAAGATAAACAAAAAATAACTGCCGTATCGTACCCCGACAGTTCAAACACCGTCATCCCACATCAGCTTGTACCATCAGTCGTGCAAGGAAATAACTCAATCTAACTCGAAATAGAAAATTTATAGTGGGGGCGAACTCGCCATGGGGCGAAACCGGTATCATTCCTCGTGAAGAATAACATCATTTTTCGTGTGTGTTTTTGTGACGCAATTCAGTTGGCAATCTTGACATCTTATGAAACAATTGATCCATGCTTTCACCTGTGCATCATTATTGAAGTTCTTAGTAATTTTCTTGGGAAGTTTGGGGAGCACTAAAGAAGCCAGATCGAGCTGCTCACAGTTGCAACTCGAGAAAGTCTTGCGCTTCTTTCGTGCTCTCCGAACTAATCAACTGAGCGAAAAAGAAGCTAAAAGGAATCAACTGACCAAAATTGTTCAGTAGCGGAACAAAATAACGACAGCAACCGGCCATGGAGCTCACGGTAAGCAACTTCACTGCGCATCATAACTATATCTGTGTCTGTCATTCCTCCACTTCCTGGGATGGACATGACTACTTAAACTCTCCAGCTATCAGCCGGTCACTGCCGAGCCCCGTCAGTGGTGCACCAATACCGACGGGACCGATTTGCCTTGAGGAAGAATGAAGTAATTAATTGTCACACACGTATCACCCGCTCACTTGTGGGAGAAACAACGATAATCGATACCCTTTGAGAGCTCAACGAGAGTTTTACTCCTATTTACCACTGTGGATCACCATTATCTCCTCTCCTCCCTCCAATCGGTCACGTTCTCAAACCAGCACTTTCTGCTAAGTGTGAATAAGATAACACAAAAGTTTTTTCGTTTTTTTTCCGAAGAGTTTTGAAGATATTCCCTACGCATGCGTATTAGTGAATTACAAACCGGTTTATCAGCTGAACTTTGCTAGCGTCATTTTTACGGCGATTCTGTGTGAAGAAGGTAACATACTAGATACTAAGATCAGATTAAGGTCAAACAAATGTTAAGGTCGAACTCAATTGACTAAGGGACTTAGCATACAGAGCTTCAAAGAACGATATACAGAACCATTTCGAGAGAGCCAATTCTCGTGGCGTAGCTGTTTTCTAATACCCAACTAAACCTGAAGACGTAAAGACGTTCGACGAAAAAAAAAAA